TTTGTGAAACTTAAGCTTAATCCAATTTACAATCGCTGGTTTTCAATTCGAGTTTGGCGAATGCTTATTCATGAAGAGTGAGAAATGTTGGTATGTTGCATTTGTTTCTTTGATTTTTGTAGTTTCTCAAGTATTTTCGATGTTGAACTGTTGGTTAGACATTTCCCTCCTTTTTACTGTTAATTTTATTCTTTGTTCATCTTTAACTATTGGTTGCCATTCAGAATAGCTTCTCAATGGCGGAACATCGGAATGCAAATGGGGCAGCTCCTGGATCAGGAAGTATTTACTCTGTTAATCTGGAAAACTTCTGCAAACGTTTGAAGGCTTTGTATTCGCACTGGAATGAACACAAAGCTGAGCTCTGGGGTTCTTCTGATGTCTTTTCAGTAGCAACTTCACCACCTTCAGAAGATTTGCGTTACCTGAAATCTTCAGCTCTAAACATTTGGTTGCTAGGTTATGAGTTTCCAGAGACAATAATGGTTTTCACAAAGAAGCTGATTCATTTTTTATGTAGCCAGAAGAAGGCTTCTCTGCTTGAAGTTGTGAAGAAATCTGCCAAGGAGGCTGTGGGGGTTGATGTTGTGATGCATGTGAAGGCAAAAAGTGATGATGGAACTGCATTGATGGATGCTATATTTCGGTCCATCAGAGCACAATACACGGGATCTGAAAATGATGCTCCTCTTTTTGGTTACATAGCTCGGGAGGCTCCTGGAGGAAAGCTTTTAGAGACATGGGCTAAAAAACTAAAAAGTGCTAGCTTTCAGCTTACTGATGTGACCAATGGATTATCTGATCTGTTTGCTGTGAAGGACAAAGAAGAGCTTATGAATGTGAAGAAGGCTGCTTATTTAAGTTACAACGTGATGAACAATATTGTGGTTCCAAGGCTTGAGAATGTAATTGATGAGGAGAAGAAAATCACTCATGCTACCTTGATGGATGAAACAGAGAAAGCCATAGTGAATCCACAGCTGGCCAAAGTGAAGCTCAAGCCAGAGAACGTTGATATTTGTTACCCTCCCATATTTCAAAGTGGGGTTGAGTTTGATCTCAGACCTAGTGCTGCAAGTAGTGAAGAGAATCTGTACTATGATTCTGCTAGTGTTATCATATGTGCAGTTGGAGCTCGCTATAACAGTTATTGCTCAAATATTGCCAGGACATTCTTGATTGATGCCACTCCACTTCAGAGCAAGGCATATGAGGTGCTTCTTAAGGCCCATGAAGCTGCAATTGGTATGTTGAAACCTGGGAGCAGAATCAGTGATGCGTATCAAGCAGCACTTTCAGTTGTTGAGAAGGATGCTCCTGATTTGATCCCAAATCTAACAAAATCTGCTGGGACAGGAATTGGTCTTGAGTTCCGTGAGTCAGGGCTTAATCTCAATGCGAAGAATGACCGTGTGATGAAAGCTGGAATGGTTTTCAATGTGTCTCTTGGTTTTCAGAACTTGCAGTGTGAGAGTAATAATCCAAAGAACAGTACTTATTCTCTGTTACTTGCTGATACAATTATTGTTGGTGAGCAAAATATAGAAGTGGTGACTGGAAAAAGTTCCAAGGCTGTTAAGGATGTAGCGTACTCATTCAATGAGGATGAGGAAGAAGAAGAAAAGTCTGTGAGGGCTGAAACTCATGGGTCTGATCTCTTTATGTCTAAGACAGTGCTCAGGTCAGATAATCATGAGATCTCTAAGGAGGAGTTAAGAAGGCAGCACCAAGCAGAACTTGCTCGTCAGAAGAATGAAGAAACAGCTAGGCGGCTTGCAGGTGGACCTGGGACTGGAGACAATCGAGCAAATGCGAAGACTTCAACTGATTTGATTGCTTATAAGAATGTCAATGACTTGCCCCCTCCAAAAGATTTTATGATTCAAATTGACCAAAAGAATGAGGCCGTGCTCTTGCCAATATATGGTAGTATGGTCCCTTTTCATGTGGCTACTATAAGGACAGTTTCCAGCCAGCAGGATACCAATCGAAATTGCTTTATCCGGATTATATTTAATGTTCCAGGGACTCCTTTTGGTCCCCATGATTCAAACACTTTAAAGAATCAAGGGGCAATTTATCTAAAAGAAGTCTCATTTCGATCGAAGGATCCAAGGCACATAAGTGAAGTGGTACAACAGATTAAAATGCTTCGTCGGCATGTTGTTGCCAGGGAGTCTGAGAAAGCTGAGAGGGCAACCTTGGTTACTCAGGAAAAACTCCAACTTGCAGGCAATAGGTTCAAGCCTATAAGGTTATCTGACCTTTGGATTCGTCCTGTTTTTGGTGGTCGTGGGAGAAAGATTCCAGGAACACTTGAAGCTCATGTTAATGGTTTTCGGTATTCTACTACTAGAGCTGATGAGCGTGTTGATGTTATGTATGGAAACATAAAGCATGCATTCTTCCAGCCTGCAGAGAAAGAGATGATCACTCTCCTTCACTATCATCTGCACAATCACATAATGGTGGGAAACAAAAAAACTAAGGATGTGCAATTTTATGTTGAGGTCATGGATGTATACCAGACATTGGGAGGGGGAAAGAGGTCTGCTTATGATCCAGATGAGATTGAAGAAGAGCAAAGGGAGAGGGATAGGAAGAATAAGATCAACATGGATTTTCAGAGTTTTGTGAATCGGGTGAATGATCTCTGGGGGCAACCTCAGTTTAATGGTCTTGATCTTGAGTTTGATCAGCCTCTTAGAGAACTTGGCTTCCATGGGGTCCCCTACAAAGCCTCGGCTTTTATTGTGCCAACTTCAAGCTGTCTTGTTGAGCTGGTAGAGACTCCTTTCCTTGTGGTCACCTTAAGTGAGATTGAGATTGTGAACCTAGAGAGAGTTGGCCTTGGGCAAAAAAATTTTGACATGACCATTGTGTTTAAGGATTTCAAGAGAGACGTACTTAGGATTGATTCCATCCCTTCAACCTCACTTGATGGTATCAAGGAATGGCTTGATACTACAGACCTCAAGTATTATGAGAGCAGGCTGAATCTAAACTGGCGGCAGATTTTGAAGACAATTACTGATGATCCACAGAGCTTCATTGAAAATGGGGGTTGGGAATTTTGAACTTGGAGGCTAGTGATTCAGATTCTGAGAACTCAGAGGAGTCAGATCAGGGTTATGAGCCATCAGATATGGAGTCTGAATCTGAGTCAGAGGATGATGACTCTGATAGTGAGTCACTGGTTGAATCTGAGGATGAAGATGAGGAAGATTCAGGGGAAGACTCAGAAGAAGAGAAAGGGAAGACATGGGAGGAGTTGGAGAGGGAAGCAAGCAATGCAGACAGGGAGAAAGGGAATGAATCAGACAGTGAGGAGGATAGGAGAAGAAGGAAAATGAAGGCTTTTGGGAAATCTCGAGCACCTCCTAGTAGTGCTATTCCCAAACGTTCCAAGCTACGATAGATGTGCTAGTATTTCCTTATTTTTTTAATGTTTAGTAGCAGCTGGTGCTTTAGAAGAATGTTTATCTTTGTTGCATTATTCACAATGGCTGTATTTCTGCAGACTCGGTGTATATCTCAATGAGGTTGCTCATGCATTGCCAAAAAACCTAATTAATGACACTTGCTAGCTCCTTTTGTTAAGTTAAAAAATCGAAAATCAACAAGATAGAACGAAAATGAGAGCAAGTAAGATGAACCCAAGATTACATATAAAACCTCCATAGTATTTAATCTCTACGATTTTGCTGGTAAAAGTTTTAGAACAAGTTGATTAACACACATAAAAAGAGATAGAAAGCAACAGTCAAAACCTTGATTAAACATATGCTACAGCTGAAGGCTTGAAAGCAACTATTCTTATTTAGTACGACTACCATCTTTACTAGGTTGCTGAAAACTACAACATGGTTTTCAAACGCATGTCACCTCAATTTGGGCCTCTTCGGAAGGCTGCCACTGGGATTTCTGTTATCATTTACCCGACCCTTACCGAAAGTCTTCATCTTTCTCCTCTTCCTTTCTTCCTCACTGTCGGAA